GCTAGTGCAAGGGAAGCTACCTAAAAGCTTAGCGACAGTGCTGACAGGCGACAAGTCATCACAGCGTATCCAGAAACGCTCGTAGCGGGATGATTTGGCATCCCTCTCAGCGTGCTTGGTCTTCTTCTTAGGCGGGGAGCTACTGTCCGATGGGACAGCGAAACTGCGAGCTCTCATCTCGTATTCACAGAAGATAGTCATCATCTCATCCTCGTAACGCTCCTCGGCACTCATTCGATGGTGCTGTTGATCTGCCGGCTGGTCGAAAAAGTCATTGATGAGACTGTCGAACGAGTCCACTGGCTTCTGCTGCGAGTCCATCTCACTAGTCTTCTTCTCCGTATCTTCACATTTATCCAAATTGAGAGCCTCTAAGCATTTAAGTGTTGCTTTTCGCCCCTCCACGTCACTTACATGATACGGGTCATTAGCGGGCTGGCGAGATCGAGTCGTAGGGTTGAGATAGTACGCAGCCTTCACAAAGTCGCTCTCAGTCAAGTAGGCGAAGTAGTGGTTTAGGCGGTCCAGAAGCACATCCTCGAGGTCTCTTACCGTGCGAACCTCTGGTTCATCGCGTTCAAGTTTTCGCCTAATGGCGCCGATAGCGATGAGAAGGTTAGGTAAGGTAGGATACTTCGACCCGCTCAACCAGTCAGTACATAATTTAAATGGCATGAGGGCATCGTACACGGCTTGGAGGACGCGATAATCAGTGTGACTGAGCCGACAGTTCTCGACTACCTTATAGACTGGTGAGTTCGGAGGCAATGTCGATTTCACCGCACGCTGAAACTCTTCGTATTGGAGCTTGTAATCAAGGATCTGCTTGATCATAGCGAAAGTGCTATTCCAGCGGGTGACCGTGTCCCCGCAGTAAGCCGTCCCTCCTTTGCTAGCGGGGGGGGAACTTTTCCCTCACATCATTCATGATGTCACGAGCAGTGGTAGATTTTCGCAGCAGTGAGATCAATGTTCGAACACGGTCAACCGAGCGCTTAGCGCTTGCTTGGGTGCGAGTTACCCGCCCAGCAGTCTCGATGCCATCACGGAATGCTTCATCATCTCCTTCAAGCCCCCAATCAGGCTCGTCCTGTTCAATGTCCTCCTCTGCCTCCATCAGAAGCGCATCAGTGTTGACATTAGTGGAATTGTCGCCCTCGGTGGGATCCTTTGCATCCATTTCCTTCAGAACTTCTTCCGCTTGTGCTAGACCGTCCTCTACCGTTTTATGTCCATAGATGCCAGCCTTCTCAGTGCGCCTCGTTTTATATAGGGCCAAACCATTACACACCGTCAAGTGCAAACGGTGTGCAGCACAGGGCAGCCATTGTTTGAGAAGGCACATAGTGCCGGATGCGACCAAATCCGAGAAACATCTGACCATATTGCTACCAGAGTCTGTGCATGCTAATGCGACCTGAA